CTCCTCCTTCTCCTCCTTCTCCTCCTTCTCCTCCTCCTCCTCCTCCTCCTCCTCCTCCTCCTCCTTCCTCCATCCTCCCCCACGTCATGGGCTCGACGAGTAAGCCCCAATGCGGGGGCAGATCGCTGCCGTCGTCGATCCCCCCACCTCGAACTGGCACGGCCCGGGCGCGCCCCCGAGGAATGGGGAGCTCGGACCCCGGGTCGGAGGCTCGCAGGCCCGCCCCCCCCTCGGACGGGTTGGAGCCCCCCCCCGCGTGGCCGATGGCACAATTCGGCGGTGCGCACAAGAAGGTGGGGGGGAGGGGGGAGGGCTTCTAAGAAGGAGGCTGCTTCCTAGAAGGCGCTGGCCTTGGCATCTACAGGTAAGGCCCGCGCCTCCTGAGAAGCAGGGGAGCTCCTAAGCAGCCCTCCCCCCTCCCCCCACCCCCCTCTGCGCGTGGCCGATGGCACAACGGCACGGTGAGGGTATTGGGTAAGGAAGCGTTGGAGAAGGAACCCAGGCTCTGGAGGCCGGTGAAACTCCAACCCAGGCTTGGCCATGGACATCTCCGCCGCCCTCGCCGGCCAAGGAGTTCTCCAGTCTGGAGCCTCCTGGGCACATTCCTGAACGAACGCCCCACGGTAGTGTTAGGTCGGGCATGTCCCCCCACACGCGGATTTTGGACGGAAAATAGAACATAAACCAAGAATGTTGAAACATAGTGGAAAAATATTCGAAAAATCGTCCCCACCCTATTTTGTGACTACTTTTGAATCCCATAGGGACAGGCCCAACTTGGCGGTAGTGTGGGGGTGCGCCACCGGGGTTGCACCGCCCAGGGGGGGGGGGGGCCAGGCCGAAGGGGCCCGACGACGTGGTGCTTCCCGTCGCGGCGTGTCTGAAGGGGAACTGGGACACACAAATAAATACACACAAATAAAAGGATCCCCCATAGTTTCCCATATTTTCTGGGCTCTTGTCTTCCCCCCCCACTTCCCATATTTGTTCCCCATCTTTTATGGGAATCGCCGATGAATTGTGTCTGTGTGTGTTTTTTCCCCTCCTGAGTGTCGCCTCCCAATTGGGGTGCCCAGGGGCCCGCTCGGGGGCCCCCCAGGAGGCCAATCGGAGAAACTCTGGAGGTCGTGAAGGGGTGTGGCACAAAAGGGTGTGGTGCCAATCGTGGAAGTGGCGATGCGATCTGCGATGAGTGGCATCGCCATGCTATGCTATCTGCGTGGAATGGAAATGGCGATGCTATCTGCGTGGAATGGAAATGGCGATGCTATCTGCGATGCTATCTGGAAAAGGGTATGGTGCCAATCGTGGAAATGGCTATGCCAGGGTGTGGCACAAAAGGGTGTGGTGCCAATCGTGGAAGTGGCGATGCGATCTGCGAAGGGGCCAGGCCGAAGGGGCCAGGGGGGGCCAGGCCGAAGGGGCCCGACGACGTGGTGCTTCCCGTCGCGGCGTGTCGCCTCCCAATTGGGGTGCCCAGGGCCCGCTCGGGCCCCCCAGGAGGCCATCGGAAAAACTCTGGAGGTCGTGCAGGGGTGTGGCATCAAAAGGGTGTGGTGCCAATCGTGGAAGTGTCAGGAGGGGAAAAAACACACACACACACACAGACACAATTCATCGGCGATTCCCAGAAAAGATGGGGAAAAAATATGGGAAGTGGGGGGGAAGACAAGAACCCAGAAAATGTGGGAAATGTGGGGAATCCTTTTATTTGTGTGTATTTATTTGTGTGTCCCAGTTCCCCTTCAGAAGTGGCGATGCGATCTGCGATGAGTGGCATCGCCAGGGTCCCCTTTGCATGAAATTACACCTCGGAAACCCATTCAGTGGATGATTCGAAAATGGATACCATGGATCTTGAGATCGATTGTGAGATCGATAATGATATCGATAGTGGAATCGATAGTGAGGACGACTGTAAGGTAGATAGTGAGACCGAGAGTGAAATCGATTCAATGAGATCGATCGCGAGATCGCTCATGCGATCTCTAGTGAGATCGCTTGTGAGATCGATAGTGAGATCGATTGTGAAATCGATGGTGAGATCGGTAGCGAAGTGGGTAATGAGATCGATGGTGAGACCGATCGATACGAAGATCGACCAGGAACCCGGGAACCCGGGAACCTCGCCGCCCTCCGAAATCGGCCCGGAACCGGGAACCGGGAACCCGGGAACCTGGGACCGGAACCCGGGAACCCAGCGTGCGACCAAAATCGGCGGGACACTTTCGCCAAATCTTTCTGCTTCCGCGAGGACCCTTAATACCCACTTCAGTGCAAGCACTGATTGGGGAATTAGCACCACACCCCTTTATACCATACCTCTTTCCTACCTCCAGAAAAAACGGGCCCGGGGCGAAAAGCTGTCCCCGGGCAGGGCCCGTGGCGAGCCCAGAGAGGCAATCAGAGGAGGCGGGCCTTCTCAGGAGGCCCGGAAGGCCCCCGCCGGCCCTCTGAGCAGTGCTCCAAGCCTCCTCCGCCAGCCTTCTGGGCGGCTTGACGGGGGCGGCTTCTCGGAAGGCGCGAGGGCTTCCGAGGAGGCCCCCGCCGCCTTCTGCGCAGTGCTCCAGGCCTTCAGGCCTCCTCCGAAGACGGGGGCGGCTTCTCGGAAGGCGCGAGGGCTTCCGAAGAGGCCCCCGCCGGCCTTCTGAGCAGTGCTCCAGGCCTTCTCCGAAGACGGGGGCGGCTTCTCGGAAGGCGCGAGGGCTTCCGAGGATTGGGGACGCGCAAATATGGATTAGCGATCCATAGATTAGGCGCGCGGTCGCCAAATCCATGGATCGGGCGAGTTGCCCTCCCCAAAATGCGGCCAGTGCCGCCTCGATCGGCGGCGAAAACCCGCGATTTCCAATGGAAACGGGACCCGTCGCTAATCCACGCCCCCTTGGAGGAGGAAGAGGAGGAGGAGGAGGAGGAGAAGGAGGAGGAGGAGGAGGAGGAGGAGAAGGAGGACGAGGAGGGGCAAGAGGAGGAGGAGGAGGAGAAGGAGGAGGAGGAGGAGGAGGGGCAAGAGGAGGAGGAGGGGCAAGAGGAGGAGGAGGAGGAGGAGGAGGAGGAGGAGGAGGAGAAGTGAGGAGGAGGAGGAGGAGGAGGAGGAGGAGGGGGGGGAGGAGGAGGAGGAGGAGGAGGAGGAGGAGGTGGAGGAGGAGGAGGAGGAGGAGGAGGAGGAGCAAGAGGAGGGGGAGAAGGAGGAGGAGGAGAAGAACCAGTGTAAACCCAAGAGTCATCAACGATGTTGGAATTAACCCTCCCTCCAAGCTCCCTCTTCATAGGCCCCTACAACGGTTCACTTCGATTGGGGGAACTACCTCGCTGGAAGACAACCGTTGAAGACCCTGAAGCATGCCAAAACATTGTTCTCGGGATGTCAACGCCGCGTATCAACCTGACTACAGCGTTTTGGCGATCCTGAACCGTGCCATAACGCTATCCTTTTGGATTTCGCCACCGTGGATCAACAGAACTGTTGCACCCCCATAATCCTGAATCCTTTCAAAACACTAATGTTGGTACGCTGACCATGGGAATCCGTGAAACTCTTACATGTGTGTAAAACGAACGTGTGCGGCGCGAAGGCGAGAGCCACATTTTGAAAACCACCCGCCCTCAATCCGTGAAGCTCTTGCAAGTTTCAAAAAAATGCACGCGGCGCTGAGGCGAGAACCACATTTTGAAAACCACCCGCCCTCAATCCGCAAAACTCTTGCGAACGTTGAAAACGAATGTGCGCGGCGCTGAGGCGAGAGCCACATTTTGAAAACCACCCGCCCTCAATCCGTAAAGCTCTTCCAAATATTGAAAATGTGCGCAGCGCTAAGGCGAGAACACATTTTGAAAACCACCCGCCCTCAATCCGTGAAACTCTTGCACTTTTCAAAACGAGTGTGCGCGGCTCTAAGGCGACAGCCACATTTTGAAAACCACCCGCCCTCAATCCGTGAAGCCCTTGCACATTTGAAAGCGAGTGTGCGCGGCGCTAAGGCGACAGCCACATTTTGAAAACCACCCGCCCTCCATCTGTGAAGCTGTTTTTTGTAGTACTCAGCTTCAGAATCGTAAATGGTGAGGAAGTCTCAGGCGAAACGCCCAGCCCGCCCTGGAAACTGGCCTCGGGGTGCGACAGGGAGGAGTTACCTATAAGGAAAAGGAACGGAGGAGGAGGAGGAGGAGGAGGAGGAGGAGAGGAGGAGGAGGAGGAGGAGGAGGAGGAGGAGGAGGAGGAGGAGGGGAGGAGGAGGAGGAGCGAGGGGAGGAGGAGGAGGAGGAGGAGGAGGAGGACGAGGACAGGGACGCCCCTGTCGCAGCCCCCGCGGCCTCGCCCGCCGCACGCCGGGCCCTCACGCGTCCTGCAGCGGCGCCGGGGCCTCGGCGCCGGAGCCGGGCGCCCCCTGGGAGCCCGCCGCCTCGCCGTCGCTGGCCGCGGCCGCCTCGGCAGGATCGTCGTCGTCGTCGTCGGCGTCGGCGTCGTCGGCGTCGGCGTCGGCGTCGTCGTCGTCGTCCTCCTCCTCGGCGTCGTCGTCCTCGTCGTCCTCGGCGTCGTCATCGTCGTCGTCCCTGTCCTCGTCCTCCTCCTCCTCCTCCTCCTCCTCCTCCTCCTCTTCATCCTCCTCCTCCTCCTCCTCCTCAACCTCCTCCTCGTCCTCCTCCTCCTCCTCCTCCTCCTCCTCCTCCACCCCCTCCTCCCTTTCTCCCAGACATGCTGGCGTCGTGTGAGAGAGAGAGAGAGAGAGAACAATGAAAAAAACATAAGGGGTTTGGCCGTTTTCGATATCCAGGGGATCTCGCCAGGCCCCAAGAGCGTCAAACACAATAAATCGCGATGAAAACAGCCCTGGGGAAAGGGTCGGGAATGCCGGGGACCCCGTACTGAAAAAAAAAAGACATCGCATGTCTGGGGTGGGATCGCCTTGGAGCGCGCATCGGATCAAGCCGCATCGGCACGGAATCGGGGCCGACTCGGATCGGACGCGCCAGGATGCACGACAGCGTGCATGCGAGCATCGGGCCGCATCGGACAGTCGGAGCATCGGATTCGGCCAGCTGGAATCGGCATCGAATTTCCTGGGCCTCCATCCAGTGCCGCTTCCACTTGTTGTCCACCACCTGGGCGAGCAGGGATGTGTTTTACCCTCGCCGCGACCAAGGGATCTCGACTCGCCGCGGATGCCGGGCGAGGCGAGAGCTCGGCGGGCAAACAGGGACCCCCCCACACGAGCTGACCTGCAGCAGGCACACTCGCGCAGCGAGATGCGGCCCGGAAGAGAAAGCGGCTGCGCTGTGAGCAACCCCCCTGGAAGAGGAGCAGGAGCCGGACGAGAAAGGGAAAACACACACACACAATATAAAAACACACACACACACAAAAAAAAAAACACACACACACACACTGTGGGAAAACACATAAAAAACACTGACAAAAACACACACACACGCACACACACACAAAACACACACACACACACACTGTGTGTGTTGTGTGTTTTTTTCCCATGGGCACCGATCGTGTCTGAAGCGCTCCCGCGGGAATGGGTTCGCCGCCCTCGGCCTCTGGAGGCCCCCGCCGGGGCCCGGAGCGTCCAAAGACTGGGAAAACACATACAAAAACACACACACACAAACACACACACAAACACACACACACACACACAAAAAACATAAAAAACAAACTAAACACACACACACAGACAGACAACAAAACACACACACACACACCAAACACTCACACACACACAAACACACACACAAAACACCCCAAAACACACGCACACACACACACAAAACAGACAAAACACACACACACAAAAAAAAAACAGACACACACACACACTCGCACACACACGCACACGCACGCACACACACACACAAAAAAAAAAACATGCAAAAACAAACCATCTGGGATAAGCGGAAAGAGAAGGCATCATATCAACCTGTTCGCCGTCGGGGGAGTCCCAGGGCGGCTGGAGAGTTCATGCCCCGGCGGGCCGCTGCAGGAAGAGTGGGCTCTTGCGCACAAGGCCGTTCGGAGTTCGGCCCACGGTGCCCTCAGTGAAGGGTGCGTGCGGAGGGCGGAGGAGGAGGAGGAGGAGGAGGAGGAGGAGGAGGAGGAGGAGGAGGAGGGAGGAGGAGGAGGAGGAGGAGGAGGAGGAGGAGGGGGAGGAGGGAGGAGGAGGAGGAGGAGGGAGGAGGAGGAGGAGGAGGAGATGGAGGAGATGAAGGAGGTCGACGAGGGGTCGTTCTAAAACCACCTGGGCAACGTGGAAAGGTGCTCTGAGAGGCCCTCCGGGCCTCCCTGGCCCGGGGAGGCCTGGCTGGCTTCCTGGCGGCCATGCGCAGAATCAGCCATCCTCCTCCTCCTCCTCATACTCCTCTACCTCCTCCTCTTCTTCTTGTTAGTATGATTACCCTTATTATTTTAGTTATTCATTTCGTAGTATGATTATCACTACGATTCGTATTCATATTATTGTTATTATTATTCGCATAGCACAGCACAGCACAGCACAGCACAGCATGGCGCGTCATAGCATAGCATACCATAGCATAGCGCAGCATAGCATATCATAGCATAGCCTAGCATAGCGTAGCATAGCGCAGAATTGAATAGCATAGCGCAGCATAGCATGACATAGCATAGCATAGCATAGCATAGCATAGCATAGCGCAGCATAGCATAACATAGCATAGCATAGCCTAACATAACACAGCGCAGCCGAGCGTACCCTAGCATAGCATAACATAACATAGCATAGCGCAGCATTGCGCAGCATACCAAAGCATAGCATAGCATAGCATAGCAGAGCATAGCATAGCGCGGCATAGCATAGCATAGCATAGCAGCAAAGCAAAGGCACAGCAACAGCAGCAACAACAAAGCAAACCATAGATGTTAATGTAGTTGTCGGTGTAGATGTAGATGTTTCTTTCCTAGATGCTCCAACTCCTAGGTAGGGTCGCACTGTGATAATGTGTTGTCTTGTTTTTCTCCATGCCATTCTTCTTCTCCCTCTTCTTCTGCCTCCTCCTCCTCCTTCCCCTCCTCCACCTCCGCCTCCTACTCCTCCTCCTCCTCCTCCTCCTCCTGCTACTACTACTACTACTACTACTACTACTACTACTACTACTACTACTACTACTACTACTACTACTACTACTACTACTACTACTACTACTACTACTACTACTAATAATTATACTACTACTACTACTACTACTACTACTACTACTACTACTACTACTACTACTACTACTACTCCTACTCTACTTCCTACGACCTTATTCCTTATTAGAATATACTCCTACTCCCCCCTCAGGCCGGCGATAGGGGCGCATCCGGGTGGTCCCATCCTAACCTGTAAAAAACAATACAAAATCAACATGTTTCTTATTTTTTCCTCTCGACATGGACGTCCTGTCGTCCACGGCGATAATCCATTGCAAAAAATACCACAAAGAGCACACGCGCGCGTTCATGTCAGAATCCTACCGAACACCGTGTGTTTGCAAGCATTTCAACATAAAAACATCGAAAACCCAATGCTTTTTCACAAAAAATCTACAAATTTCCTGCCCGGGCTCTCTTGCTAAAATCATAGGAAAACCATAGGAATCTTAAGAATTCGGTCAAATCCAACGATTTCACGTCATCGCGCGGTGCACTCGCGATGCTCTGTCATGCACCCAGGCCGCGAATCCTGTGCAAAAAATACCACAAAGAGCACACTCGCGCGTTCATGTCAGAATCCTACCGAACACCGTGTGTTTGCAAGCATTTCAACATAAAAACATCAAAAACCCAATGCTTTTTCACAAAAATGCTTTGGGGTGTCCTGTCAGACCGTCGGGCTTCCTCCGGCCACCTCTGGCTTCCTGCGGTGTACAGGGCCATTCTCGACTCGTCTGGCAATGCGTGCGCGGCATTCAACACGCGCTCGCCAGTTCCCGTCGGCAACCGCCATCGCGGCCGCATCAGCTGTACCAAACCGGCTGGCCGGTGTGACTTCGGCCCCCAGTAGTGCCAGCTTTGCTTCTTTTGTTGTGGGAGGGCGGGTGGGACTGGGCATGCCATGCTTGACTCGCTCGAGCTGGCTAGCTTGACTCCTACTCCTACTCCTACTCCTACTCCTACTCCTACTCCTACTCCTACTCCTACTCCTACTCCTACTCCTTCTCCTCCTACTCCTCCTCCTCCTACTCCTTCTCCTCCTCCTCCTCCTCATCATCATCCTCAAAGCGGGGCGCGGTGAAACTGCCCACTGTCGGCGCAAGCCTGCGAGTCCGCCACATTGACAAGACTGGCGCGCCCGAGTCTGCGCTGTAAAGCTGAGGTGCCCGATGTATACGCTTACACAAGAGTTCGTGGACTGAGTCGAAAGCGGGACAGCGTCGCTAATCCACCTGCCTCAACCCATGCTTCCATTTCCTTGACTGGGGACGCTGGGGTCACCATGGACCAGGGACACCTCCCCGATATCCGATATCCTGAATGTTTCACAGCGTCGGTCCCCAGAAGCCTGGACCCGTTCCTGGGCACCGGCGTTTCATGCTGATTTGTTATCTTCGGGGTCCCTAGGCGTGGTAAGGACCCTCCCCCGGAAGCCCAAAGTCGCGACAAGCAATAGAAACCCCCTCCCCGAAGAAAGACAAGCCACACAACCAGGGGGCAAACACCACCAACACCAACACCAGCACCAGCACCAACACCAACACCAACACCAACAACAACACCACCACCAACAACAACAACAACAGCAGCAGCAACAACAACAACAACAACAACAACAACAACAACAACAACAACAACAACAACAACAACAACAACAACAACAACAACAACAACAACAACAACAACAACAACAACAACAACAACAACAACAACATGAACAACAACCGCAACACGAACACAAACAAAAAAAACACCACAAACAGCAGCACAAACAAAAACAACAGCAACAGCAACAGCAACAGCAACAGCAACAACAACAACAACAACAATCATTTTACCCGAACGCTCAGTGTTCTCCCCAGTGCCAGGGTTTTCTTGCGACACCAGCCAATACCCCCACTTCGTGTGGGGGCCGTTCAAGCTCTACCAAATATCCAAACGACTCTTCGAGACCACCCACACCCAGCTTCCCGCCCTATGACGTTGGGACACTTCACTTCGTGGCGTGCGGACGACCCTGGCTACTACTCTGGCGTGGGGTACACACCCACAGAGGTTGATCACATCTGTTACATATGATGTGGTACACGGTACTCGTGAGATGGTACGCAGTGCCAAGATAGTTGGTCACATTTTTGGGGCAAATTCGTGGGGATGCGATTACAGAAGTACATGTGTTACACTGATGTTATACAGTCCCAAGGATGACGCATGCATTGCTCATAGACTCATGGCGCTATGATCCAAACTCTCAGTGCCCAACGCGCGCGTGCACAGCCAGACGGAGGGAGAGAAACACATGTATACAAGGTTCGTGACATACGCACGGTCCACCATGTTGTAAACGATCGCATGCACGGTAAGTTCTGAAATTATACGTATGTACAAGCAGAGCGGCGGCCGCGCGCATGTGCACTTCGTCTCATTTTTTGCAAGGGATGGTGGCCCTCGCAGGCGCGCAACCGTTGTTGGAGAAGTTCAAAGCACCTGAAGAAGTAGCACGCAAAGACCCTTTTGACAGAAATGTTTAAAAAGTGGTGTGTTTCCTATGAATCCGCAAGAGCGCGCGGAAGGACATTTTGACAATTTTTCTTAAAAAACCATTGGGTTTTTGATGTTTTTATGTTAAAATCGATACGAAACCTAAGGTTTTGGAAGGATTTCGTCTTGCGCGCACGAATGTCCACTTTACCTTATTTTTTGCAAGGGATTCTTGAAATTTGATCAACTAAGAACAAGAATTTTCATTTTCTATTGTTTTTTGCAAGGGAAAACGAGCGTCAACAAAAAACCGGATCCGGGGGCAATCCACTTTTCTGAAGCTTTCGCAGAAAAATGATGAACATGTAGCTGCGGCCTAGGTTTTGGGCGGGGGTCGCGCACCAGGGGTCCCAACAATAATTATTCTTTAGAATAAATAATGTTCAACAACAACAACAACAATCATTTTACCCGAACGCTCAGTGTTCTCCCCAGTGCCAGGGTTTTCTTGCGACACCAGCCAATACCCCCACTTCGTGGGGGGGCCGTTCAAGCTCTACCAAATATCCACACGACTCGTCGAGACCACCCACACCCAGCTTCCCGCCCTATGACGTTGGGACACTTCACTTCGTGGCGTGCGGACGACCCTGGCTACTACACTGGCGTGGGGTACACACCCACAGAGGTTGATCACATTTGTTACATATGATGTGGTACACGGTACACGTGAGATGGTACGCAGTGCCAAGATAGTTGGTCACAATTTTGGGGCAAATTCGTGGGGATGCGATTACAGAAGTACATGTGTTACACTGATGTTATACAGTCCCAAGGATGACGCATGCATTGCTCATAGACTCATGGCGCTATGATCCTAACTCTCAGTGCCCAACGCGCGCGTGCACAGCCAGACGGAGGGAGAGAAACACATGTCTACAAGGTTCGTGACATACGCACGGTCCACCATGTTGTAAACGATCGCATGCACGGTAAGTTCTGAAATTATACGTATGTACAAGCAGACATGCGAGGGAGAAAAGGAGATGGCCATCGACAGTTCCAATACGGCTCCAAGGCGGAAGAGGGGGAGGAGGAGCAGGACAAGGAGGAAAGGAGAGAAGCGAGAAAGGAAGAACGCAGACGGCGCGGCTCTGGACACAAAGGGGTGCCATACTTTCTCCTGCTTTCGCAAACAGGTCCAGTCACACGTAGGGGTTTGGCAGGATTTCGACATGCGCGCGCGGCGGCCGCGCGCATGTGCACTTCGTCTCATTTTTTGCAAGGGATGGTGGCCCTCGCAGGCGCGCAACCGTTGTTGGAGAAGTTCAAAGCACCTGAAGAAGTAGCACGCAAAGACCCTTTTGACAGAAATGTTTAATAAGTGGTGTGTTTCCTATGAATCCGCAAGAGCGCGCGGAAGGACATTTTGACAATTTTTTCTTAAAAAACCATTGGGTTTTTGATGTTTTTATGTTAAAAACGCTACGAAACCTAAGGTTTTGGAAGGATTTCGTCTTGCGCGCACGAATGTCCACTTTACCTTATTTTTTGCAAGGGATTCTTGCAATTTGATCAAGTAAGAACAAGAATTTTCATTTTCTATTGTTTTTGCAAGGGAAAACGAGCGTCAACAAAAAACCGGATCCGGAGCTCATCCACTTTTCTGAAGCTTTCGCGAAAAAATGATGAAAATGTAGCTGCGGCCTAGGCGCGGCGCAGAGGTCGCGCACCAGGGGTCCCAACAATAATAACTCTTTAGAAGGAATAATGTTCAACAACAACAACAACACCAACACCAACACCAACACCAACACCAACAACAACAACAACAACAACAACAACAACAACGGCATCGAATATGAAGTCCCAAACAAGCAGCGAACCAAACGGAGACAGCCAAGCCAACGACCCCCCCCAAAAAAAAAAAACACACACGACAGAGCGGCGCACCGCGAGGGCAGAGCGGGCGCCCCGCGCGGGACCTCCGGCGGGGCAGCCTGCTGCGCGCGAGCGCCCCGGGGCGAGGTCGACGCGCGCGCGCGCCTGCGGTTTCTCTGGCGCCGCCTCGCCTGGCCCTTGAGGAGGAGGAGGGGGAGGAGGAGGAGGAGGAGGAGGAGGAGGAGGAGGAGGAGGAGGAGGGGGAGGAGGAGCGTGTGGGGTCGTGTAGGGGCGTCTTGGGCACCCCTTGGGGGCGCCTCGCCTGGTCCTTGATGTACTCCTCGCTCTTGAGCCTCGCCGCCATCTCCTTCGCCTGCTGCACGGCGTCCTCCTCTCCCTCGCGGGCCTGCTCCAGGAACATGAACAGCCGCTGGTAGTCCGAGAAGCCCAGGACGTCGGAGCTCTGCCAGAAGGCCAGGGCGTCCTCGTCGTCGGTGTTGCCGATGTCCGAGGCCACCACGCTGAGCAGCTCCGCGTGCTCGAGTGCCTCGGCGCCAAGGTTCTGTGCGCTTGCATCTGGCGACTTGTGCACATGGACGAGCAGATTGAGCCCACCAGCCCTCCAGGGCGTGGGTGATCTAGCGCACGTGCTCTGCCAGCCCCCTTTTCCCCCTTCGGGGAGGGCTCCTTCCCGCTGGAAAACTCCTCCCCCACCCCGCCAGCGACAAACCTGGGGCAGCGCCTCCCCCTGGCCCCCAAATCCCCGCCGGAGCATACAAACTACACGCTGCGGCGAGATCTGAAACCATGCGCGGGCGTCCCGCGTTCCCTTTGAAATATCTTGCGTCACGGGGTCCGGAGGGGCTTACGCTGGGCGGTGTGCGCGGGCGCGCCAAACCTGTAAATTATCCCAGTGCGACCCTACCTAGGAGTTGGAGCCTCTAGGAAAGCAGCATTAGTAGGAGCGGTAAACGCCGTACTGCTAGGCTATGCTATGCTATGAAATGCTATGCTATGCTATGCTATGCTGCGCTGTGCTATGCTGCGCTATGCTATGCTGTGCTGTGCTATGCTGTGCTATGCTATGCTATGCTATGCTATGCTATGCTATGCTTCTGCTTTGCCTTCGTTTTTGCCTTCACTTTTGCCTTTGCTTTTGCTTTTGCTTGGCACCCTGGGAGCGCAACTGGGGGAACCGCGCGTTTGCTTTTACCTTTGCTGTTGCTTTTGCTTGGCTCCCAGGGGACTGGGGGAACCGCCCGGGGCGGTTTGCACTGCCCGGCCCCTCTAAGCCAACAGAGTAAGAACCCTTCTAGGCAGAGCCTAGGTAGGGGGAAGAAAAAAAAAAAAGGCAAGTGCGAAGTGATCGCGAGCGCACCTGCCATACACCACGAGGGCCAACACACCGCCACGCAGCAGGGGCTTTTGCAAACGATCATTGGGGGCCGACGCGGTTCCCGCTGCGCGCTGTCGCGTGCACCGTGGTACCTGCCGCGGGCGGAGCACGTGGCACGCTTGGCGCACGTGGAGCACGTGGCGCAACTGCTGCACCGGCCGCGCCTGGCACGCTTGGGCCCCCGGGGCGCCCGGCGAAGCCGGTGCGCGTGGCGCGCGTGGCGCGCGTGGCCGGCGCCGCGCACCTGGCGTCTGTATCTGGTCCCCGTCGCCTGTCCTTGCCGCCCCACCCCCCCGCCACCCACCCCACCCCCCTCTCCCCGCGACCGGTTGTTACTATGGCCCGTTGGGTGTCAGTGTGGCCCGTTGGGTGTTAGTGTGGCCCGTCGCGCGGCGCGATGGGAGTTACTGTGGCCCGCGCAGGCCGCCCAATGAAAAGTAAGATGTAAAGGTATCTCATGTTAGATCTGGAGAGATTCGCAACCCTTAAGCGAATGCACTCCCGCGCAGGCAAAAGTGGCCACAGTAACTCCCACCTGGAACCAACGTGGTGGTAGTGCTGTGTTAGTGGTGTGGTGGTCGCTGTGCTGTGTTAGTGGTGTGGTGTTGGTAATGTTGTGTTAGTGGTGTGGTGTTGGTAGTGGCTGGTTGTGCTGTATGCTGTGTTAGTGGTGTGGTGTTGGTAGTGGTGTGCTGTGTTAGTGGTGTGGTGTTGGTAGTGTTGTGTTAGTGGTGTGGTGTTGGTAGTGCTGTCGAGTTGTTAGTAGGTAGTAGTGTTGTGGTAGTGGCAGTGGTGCTGTGGTAGCGGTGATGTGGTAGCGGTGTTGTGGTGTTGTGGTTGTGGTATTGTGGTAGCGGTGTTGTGGTGTTGTGGTAGCGGTGTTGTGGTGTTGTGGTACTGGTATTGTGGTAGTGGTGCTGTAGTGTGGTAGTACTATGGTGCTGTAGTGTTGGTGTTCTGTAATCTCATTCATAGGGAGAACTAATCCTACGGAGTACGAACCGCAGGGAGTGCTAGCCCCAGGGCGTACTCGTCCAAGGGAGTACTCGTCCCAGGGAGTACTCGCACTACGGAGCACCAGCCCTAGGGAATACTAGTCCTAGGGAGTGCTAGTCCGAGGGAGTGCTAGGAAGTATTGGCGCTAGGGAGTGCTAGCCCTAGGAAGTACTGGCGCTAGGGAATGCTAGCCCTAGGGCGCTAGGGGCGACGAGTAGTAGTAGTAGTAGTAGTAGTAGTAGTAGTAGTAGTAGTAGTAGTAGTAGTAGTAGTAGTAGTAGTAGTAGTAGTGATAGTGATAGTAGTAGTAGTAGTAGTAGTAGTAGTAGTAGTAGTAGTAGTAGTAGTAGTAATAATAGTAATCGTAAGAGAGCTAGTAATCGTAGTAGTAGTAGTAGTAGTAGTAGTAGTAGTAGTAGTAGTAGCAGCACTAGTAATAGTAATAGTACTAGTAATAAGAATAGGAATACGAATAGGAATAGGAAAACGACTATGAATAGGAATAGGAATAGAAATAGTAATAATAATTGCAATAGAAATAATCTAATAATAATAATAAAAATAGTAATTGTAATAATAATAATACTAATAATAATAATAATAATAATAATAGTAATAGTTCGGAGAGCCCAAGACGCTCTTCGGAGAGCCCAAGAAGCGCTTCGGATGCCCCAAGAGGCTCGTCGGAGGCCCCACGAGGCTCTTCGGAGAGCCCAAGAGGCTCTTAGGCGGCTGCAAGAAGGTCTTCGGCGGCTCCAAGAAGCTCTTCGGAGAGCACCAGGGGCTCTTCCGAGAGGCTCTTCGGTGAAGGGGGGGCGGCGCCTTTTTGGACCCCCCCCCCCTCTCCTTCACCGTACCCGATAATTTAATACACTCCAGAGGACCCCTGGCCATACTAACACCCACCGGGCCGCAGTAACAACCAACGGGCCGCAGTAACACCTGATCTCCCCTCTTCCCCCCATCCCCCCATCCCCCCCTCCCCCCCCCTCCCCCACTCCCCCCCCTCCCCCCCTTCCCCCCTCCACCCCCCCGCTCCGCTCCGCTCCTCCCTCACGCCCCCTCCCCCTATCCTGCCCTCCCCCCCGAATGTGCTGAGGCTCGGAGCCTACTCGTGTGGCGGGGCGGGTGGGAGTGGGCGAGGCGGCCTGCGGCTTGCGGCTAGCCAGGCAGTCTGCGCCTGGGAGGTGTGCTTTGACCCCTCCCCCTACCCCCCATACCCCTGGGCCTGGAGGGGGGTGGGGGGCGCGGGTCGTTAGAGCGTCCAAGATGGCCCGAGATGACTCCAAGAGGGCCTCAGAGAGCCCAAGATAGCCTTCAAGATGGCTCAGGATAGCGAGATTACTCAAGATGGCCAAGCCTATGCTTCTAATCAGCCACAAGACCGCTCCAAGACTGCTCAAAGCGGCCATGGACCTCTCCCCAGAGGCCAACATCTTTCCGAAACCCATGGGAAATCAATATGGTTTGTCTTCTCGCACCGAAAATCCAAGCCTTCCGCCCCAAGAGTCCCCTAGGAGGCCCCAAGAGGCGTCCAGGAGGCCCCAAGAGGCCCCGAAGAGGCCCCCAAGAGGCCCCCAAGAGGCTGAAAAGAGGCCCTAGGAGGACCCAGAACGGCCCCCAAGAGGCCTCCAAACTACCTCCAACAGGCCCCCGAGAGGTCTCCCACGAGATCCCAACGAACATCCAATAGGCTTCACACCCACAACCCAGGCACGGTGGCGGGATTGGCCGAAGGCCATTAGACATACATCTTCAGATATGCTCAAGGCACTGCCAATTTGAAGATTTGCCCAATGACTTCTCTGATACCGTCCAATTGCATTAATCAAACGATTGTCAACGTTTGCTTTTACTCGGCGTTTCGACATAGGGCGGAACAGGGGAGAGGAGGGGGAGGGTCTGGCTCCAGACCTCTGCTTAGTGCGGCTGTTTGGAACGGTGTCCATTCTGGGGGAGACTCCACCTGCTCGAAACAGGCGCCAAAAACAGCCAAGATCTACTCCATGGGGGGGAGGGGGGGGGTTGGGGGTCCGCGCCGATCGGCAAAACAATGAATAAAAAAACGATCACATTGCTCCAGCCAGCGCGTGTTTGAACAGTTGTCCTAAGACTTCCCTGGAACCTTGAACCTTCAAACGAGGCGCCAGGCCTCAGGCTCCAAGTGAACTAGAAAATATGCTCTGCTCTGCGACGGGCGCGTTTAGAAGGTCCTGCTCAAGGAACCCCTCGCATCTTCAACCCTCGAACTTCAAGCGGAAGCGTCGCCTAGAGGAGGAGAGGCAGGAGAAGAAAGGAGGAGGATATGATACATAAGGAATAGCGGTCAAGAGATAGATCCTTCGGATGGAAGGGAGGTCCCATCTGTATGAACATATGTACGTGCATCTAGGTTCCTACTTTATGTGTGCACACATCTCTATACCCAAAATGCATGTGCGTGCCCAGGCTCAAACAAACACGTGTGCAGGGTGCGAGTGTTCTGTGTGTGGTGTGTAATGCGCGTGTTTTGTATGAAGTGTGTTGTGTACGTGCGTTGTTTGTTTGTGCTGTGTGCGAAGTTGTTGTAGTAGTATTGGTATGTGGTGTCGTTGTGTTGTGTGTCCGTTGTGTGTGCGTACGTGTTGCTTGTGCTGGGTGTGTTATGTGTGATGTGTGCGTTGTGCGTGCGCGCGTGCGTATTTATGTGTGTTATCTGGTTGTGCTCAGTGTTGTATGTGTGAGTGTGTTGTATGTTGTGTGTTGTGTGTTGTGTATTGTGTGTGGTGCGTGTGTGTGCGTGTTCTGTGCGTATTAGCTGTGCGCGCGTTGTACACCAGGGCTCAGTGTTGGGAGGATGTCTCAAGCAAGACTGTTTTGTCTTCTGAATATAGTTTTCACAAGGGCCTCGGCGTTTGGATAATGCTTCAGGCGAAGCTGCAAGTTTCTAAAAAGTGCGGTCACACTGAATGAAAACCATTGTGTTTTGATTGTTTGTATGTCTACATGTAAAAATCCCGGGTGTTTCTTGGCCGTGCCATCCATCGGGTGGCAGCGAGGAAGGGCCAAAGGAGAGAGACAGAGAGCGAGAGCCAGGGGGAAGGAGGGAGGCAACGACAGGAATGGACGCCAGATCAGAGCCACAGGCCCCAATGGCGGATCAAACGCCAAAGCAC